ACACACACACACACACACACACACACACACACAGTATTAGCTAGAAAGATAAGATAGACAGATAGAAATCATATCTGATGCAAGTGTCTGGTTGTCCTCGGTGACCCATCCTCGACCTTTGACCCAGTATTTGCACAACAGACAGGAAATGAGGAGCGACTCGACCCACGCCGCAGGCATAGCTGACATACTTCTACTCGTTGCACAAGCACATTAAACAGAGAAAAGTGCATGGAGGAGGAGGACGAATAAGAAAAACAGATCAAAGAGAAGCCGAAAGAGAAAAAAGTCAGCTGAGGAGCAGACGGCGGGATGAACCGTGGATGAACTTTACACAGCGTGTGAATTAAAGATCAAGAGAGCTTCAGAAGACTGGTGTCACTGGAGGGATCTGAGCTGCTTTAAGACCACAACTTTATTCTGACGGGATCAAACTGTCTTAGAGGCAGAGAGAGACGGTAAAAATCACGGTAAACACAGGCACTGGAGCTAAATCTGTGGCTTTTAGACTTGATTCTATTCGATTTAACGCTGTTGTGCTGATATGCAGGACATTATATAAATAAATCTGTGGTTATATAACATATATGGTTACTTCAATAAGCAGAACAGACCTGATTTCTGACCCAGAAACCCTTACAGACGTACCAGTAATGGCCTCAGATGGGAATACCGTAGTAATTCATTATACAGTAGTATGATAGCAAATATATCTACCTTGTGTATTTTCAATGTACTTCAATGTCTGAAAAATTTACCTTTTCCAAACAAACATGGTAATACTATAGTATATGCCCCCCCTCAAAAAAAACCCCGTAAATACCATACAAAACACAGCAATAGTATGGTAATTTGTCCAAATATATAGTAATTCCAGTAAATGTCCACACAACATGGTAATACCATGGTACCATATCAAAAATAATAGCAGTAATACCTTGTTTCCTTGTTTAAAACACATGATATTAACAAAATGATGGTATTACTATAGTACGTTCAACAAACATATTACCATGGTACCTTTGTAAGAAACCAGCGTGTTACCATGGTACTTTTTCCAAACCACACACCAATGCCATGGTAAATGTCCACACACACACACACACACACACACACACACACACACAAGTGTTTTTATTTTACTATCAATCATCGATATACTACTGTATTTGTTAATATTTTAATTTGATTTGATATATTTTGCTTTCAATTTCATTTGAGTAATTTGGTGTTTTTGTCATTTTTATTAGTTTGGTACATGTTTAAAATTGTTTTATTAAAGTTTTAATTTGGTTTTTGTAATACTTCAGCTTATACTAAATGAAAAGTTCCGGTTTTTTTTTTTTAATTTCAAGTAATGAAAATGTTTTTTTATTGTTTTAGTTAACAATATTAACCCTACCACACACACACACCATATATATATATATATATATATATATACACATATATATATATATAGCAATACCATGGTAAAAAAAAAAACATGACATTTCCTGCATGTTCTAAAAACCATGGTACCATGTCCTAAAGGCATGGTAAAACCACGATCAATGACAAAACAACATGGTAATATCAAGGTAAATGTTCCCATACCATGGTATATTGTTCAAAACACAACAACAAACATAATATTACCATGATACATGTTCCAAAAACCATGGTATTAACAAAACAAAAACATGGTAATATCATGGTACTTTTTAGTTAGCGAAATAATGAAGTCATCTGATTATGTGAGTGTTAATGAATTCCAAACCTCTGGAGAACAGGAGAGGAACGGCTTGATAGCGATGTCGGAGTCGTGAACCTTCAGGTCGTGATCGCCGAGTCCACGAGTGACGCCGATGGTGGCCAAAACACGAGCCTGAGCCACAAAACACAACAACATGAGACGGCTTTCCAGAACATTTGACTTCTCTAATGTGATGTGTTGCTTAGTAAAACTAAATATTCAATTGACCCTTTAGTTACTGTTGCTACATCCGACAAGCCAAGGACAGAGCAGATTACTCTTGGTATGAAACAAAGTCTCGGCTTTCAAATTTGTTTGCTTTAATTTTGCAAGAAATAAATACTATTTTGTGGCTCTTTAATGGATCGCTGTAGCGCCTCAGTTCAAGGGGAACGTGAACCGATCGTCTCTTCCTCGTTACTAGTTATAGCATGAAATAAACATGAATGAACATCAGAAGGTATCTGGTTTCAACCGCAGAAAGATGTCAATACACCGTTTTTCAAGTTCAAGTCCACTGACGTTGATCTACTCTCCCGCCTGGTTTGTTTATCAGACAAAATGGCAGATTCTGGATTATGATTGGTCAGATCGCCTGTCAATCAAACTCCCGGCGAATGGTGAATTGGTTCCAAAATGGTGATTCCACCATTTTTGGTTCCGCAAAGAACATTTAAAAAAATGTAAAGAAGCTTTTTCCACTAAAAAGGTTCCGTAGATGTTAAAGGTTCTTCATGGAACCAGAGATGCCAATAAAAACCCTTTATTTTTTAAGAGTGTACTTGAAGATGGTTCAGAAATAAGAGGGACTGATGACGTTTATTTAGACTAAAAGTCAATGTAGTCATTTAAAACAAACCTCCCAACAAATGTCCTTGTTTTTTTCCCAGAATGCCACTGGCTGTGGTTGAAAACACCCCCTGCTGGTTAATAATACACATGCCCTCAACCAGCTGCTTTCTCAGACTCCCTCGTGCCGCCGCTGCCGAGTGGCTTTTGCTATCTGTTCCTGCCGAAGCCTCCAGCCTCCCACAGATGGAGGAGAGAACTGAACGTTATCGAGCCAGAGATGAGGAGGGATTCAGAACAGATGTCTTGTGAAGCTGAGACCTCCTTGAAGATAACTAGAGGCCGATCTCCTCCTGGTTTCACCCGTCACAACAGACTGATCTCAGCTCAGCACCACAGACTGAACACATTAACACCCCGATTGGAGCCCAAACGCTGCAGGATGGCACACACACTCACATTTAATTCTAGTGCTGGAGGCTGAAATTAGTTCACCCAATTATAATAATACATTAAAAAAAAAATTTTTTTTTTAAAGTCCTCACCCTCAGGGAGTTATAAAATTGTCTATGACAGTGTTGAACGGTCACGTACATTACTGTTCAAAAGTGTCAGTAAGTTGATTTTTGTAAGAACATTTACATTTTTATTCAACAAGCATGCATTACATTGATTAAAAGCAGCAGTTATAAATGTCACAAAAAATTATATTTAAAATAAATGCTGTTCTTTTGAACTTTCTATTCTTCAAAGAACCTGAAAAAATTACATTTATCCTGGTTTCCACAGAAATATGAAGCAGCGCAACGGTTTTCAACATTGATAATAATAATTATGTTTCTTGAGCAGCATATTATACTGATTTCTGAAGATCATGTGACACTGAAGACTGGAGTAATTATGCTGAAAATACAGCTTTGTATCACAGAAATAAATTACATTTAAACATATATTAAAACAGAAAACAGTTATGTTACATTTTAAAATTATTTGACAATTTTTCTGATTTTACTGTATTTCTGATCAAATAAATGCAGCCTTGGGGAGTCAAAGAGACTAAAAGTAGAACATTAAAATCTTACCAACCCCAAACTGTACACTGTAAAAAATGACCGTGAATTTAAAGGTAAAAGACTGTAAAAATGCTACAGTAAAAACCTGTTAAATGGTTAACGGTAAATTC